CCCCCGTGGTGAGGAAATCCCGGTTGATGAGCGCCACGGCAGCCAGGTCGGTCACGGTGAAGGTGACGGCCAAAGCGTTTCGGAGCAGCCGGGGGATGCCGTGACCGGTGGTGAGGAGGAGGATGCAGATGCCGCAGTAACGTGCTCGGCTGTGCAGCTCGTAGAGGGTGCAGACCGGGCGTAGGCGGCCAGCAGCACCGCCAGCCCCGCCACCAGCAGCAGGTTGCAGGTCCCGTGGGGAGCCCCTTCCAGCAAGAAGCTGAGGCTGCAGGACACCCCGCAGCCCAGCGAGTACTGGCACAGCAGGTAGAGCTGGCTGCTGTGGGCGCCCTGCGAGAGCGGGACGGCGCCGTCAGTCGCTGCGGGGGTTGCAAAGCAGCGAGGGCATGCACGGCTGCAAAGAGATGCATGGCTTCCTCCATGCTGCAGCCTCCCGTAATCCCGCAGGTATTGCGGGCAGCAAGGGGATGCGCGGTTGCAAAGCCATGCATGGTCTTCTCCATGCCATCTCCCCTGTCCTCCCCACGGGTGTTGCAAAGCTGCAAGGGGATGCATGGTTGCAAAGCAATGCATGGCTTCCTCCATGCTGCACCCCCATGGGTGTTGCAAGCAGCAAGGGGCTGCACGGTTGCAAAGGCATGCGTGCATGCAAAGCAATGCATGGTTTTCTCCATGCCAGCCATCCTCATCCTCCCTGCAGAGGTTGCAAAGCAGCAGGGGGATGCATAGGCTCCTCCGTGCAACGGTTCTCATGTGCCCCACGGGTGCTGCAAGCAGCAGGGGGATGCATTATTTCGGGCATGCCACAGCCCTCATCCTCCCTGCAGAGTTTGCAAAGCCATGCATGGCCTTCTTCATGCCATCTCCCCTGTCCTCCCCACGGGTGTTGCAAATCTGCAAGGGATGCAGAGTTCCACGGCTCCCTCCACACCACCGCCCCACCGTGCCTCAGTTTCCCCTGTCCCTCACCTTGCCGAGGGAGAGGACGGTGGAGACGGCGCGCAGGGAGAACTCCAGCACCACCAGTGCGGCCACGCGGGAGCCCACCAGCGCCAGCACCCCCGTCAGCACCACCAGATGCAGCGGCTCCA